GGATGGAACCAATACTTGGATCAACTAAAATTACTAAAAAATTAAAATTAGGGATGAAATCTTTACTACTATTACAACAATTTTTTTAGCCGTCTAAAAGCTGATGCCATCTTTCTTTTTATGCCAATGTAAGTCACCAGATAAATACCTGATATAAGCCCATACCAACATTTGCATCCATAGTGCAAAAATGTAAAAGGTGGGAGAATTTGTACCTTTTGTCTTTTGTTTGGGTGCCAATTTAATCTTTTTAGATCTTTGAGTGTCAGAGCTAGCATATTAGCTAATATTAGCTAATATTATAATGCTCTTTCACAAGGATATGATGTGCATCTCAAACTGCACGGCAACCTTTGGAGCTCTCTGTGGTCCTTCTGCCTCAGTGGCCCTGCCTGCCCGTTTTCCGCTTGAGGTCTTTGAAATGCTAATCACTTCTCCTCTTCTCTTTTTTCCCCTCTTCATCTCTCCTCCAGATTCTTCCACCAACTACATCAGGCAGCTGGAGACGAAAGTGCGGATACTGGAAGACGATAACAATAAGCTCCTCTCACAGGTGAGGCTTGCACAAGGACACAGGCACAGGCACATGTGCCATGCCGCAATTAGCCCACTTGAGTTTCCGTCTAAACTTATACCCTCGCTAAACTCCTCTTGTGCGAATTTTTAACTCATCCTCAACGCATGACAGGAAGCTGCGATGACATAAAATCATTGCCTAATGCTTCTGTGAAGCTACCCCTTGCAACAGGCTCCCTGTTAGTTGGGGAATATGTTTATCCATGTTTAATTCATAGGGAGTCAGTAAGCTTCAGTAGCGTGCACTGATGTTAGCCCCCGAGGCGAACTGTGGGAGCGGAGCAGAGATGAGAGGAGGAAAAAGAAGGGGAAAGAGGCATTAAGTGACAGTGACAGAGTAAAGGATTTATCCCCAAAGCTGACCTTGCTCTGACTTCTCCCAAATTTGGAGGATGGAGGGCTCGGTGAGGGAGGGGGTGTGTGCAAAAACGGGGTGGGGTGTGTGTGGAATGCTGGTGTGGTTCACCAGAAGGTCACATGTCAGTCTGCGGAGGTGTGTTTACCCAGTCGAACACAAACAGCAGATGACGAAATCGAAGCACACTAATCTGGTCACGTGAGGGGAAATCTGATTCATGAAGTGTTCGACTAATTATTGGCAAAAAAAAAAAAACAGCTCAGGCTTTAAGTTTATAATTTGGCCTCTTTAATTTTATCGCATCATTTTATGGTGCGAGTCGGTTCGTTTGAATGCAAATCAGGTTGCACAGAGACGAGGCTGAATTTCACACTATAATTTGAAGTCTTCTTTCCCACTTATATCCCAGCAGATTCATGTGTAGGCAGAGTGTAGGCTGTTATCACTGACATGAAACCTAAACGATCCTCATAATTATCTCTTACGCGCTACAGTTAGGTGTTACACATTGTCTCGCAGCAGTCCAAGCATAGAATATGAACTCCCGTCTTATAGTTTTTGTTCACGTTGTTTTCTGCAGACGTGATGTTGGGATATGAATGCGTTCAAGTGCAGTGCAAAATGTGAAACTGTTGAGACTGATTTATTTTATTTTTTTAACAAATACATTACCTTAATTTTATGTGTTTAAATCCATCAGCAAAACAGTTGCTTCCATTGCTGTTCACGGCTCCTCACAGAGCGAAACAACATAATAAACCATTCCACCATTATGTTTTTCTCTCCCTAGGCTTATAGCCGCTATAGCTTATCGCAAATACAGACGAGAAAGGTAATCTTCTGTGATGTCTGTGTTTGTTGGCTCTTCTGCTGGCCGGTTGGTTCAGTCTGTTTGGCCCTTTCACTCTTTTTACTCGTTTGATGGTGGGACTTTTCACATCTTTGAGCTTCTTTGCTTTCTCTTCTGTAGAGGGCTGACACTATCAAAGCAGCAGCTGTACAAGGCAAGGTGACTCTTTGCAGTAATGTTTTATGTTGTGCCTTTCAGACAAGGAATCACCTCTGTGGTAATGTTTAAAGGGTAGGAATATGATGATTTGTTCCCTTGATGGGATTAAGTTACTATGACGCAACAGCCTGTAGTGTTTTTTAGCTTAGCATAAAGGCTAGACGCTAGCTAGACTGCGGCAAAGATCGGGACTGTGACATCATCCACTGGCTTCTGAAGAAACCATTTCCACTTTGGTTAAAAAAACAAATCTAATATGACGAGGAGGGGTGGGTCTGACCGTCAAACCACTTGCTCATCATCGGCTATGAATTTGTCAATATCAAATCGTTAGCTAATGAGCATACCGCAGATAATCCTCCAGTTTGAAACCTATTAGGACCAGGATTTATGAAATACACTTAATTTTCATGACCAAAAATGAGCGACTGAGCCCATAAACGCAGCTGGAAAGTATTTACACAAGTCAACTCAGAAATCCATTTTCACATAAATTACAGGACCTGAAATCATTTTGTTTTTAAGCAAAAACTACAGTGGAACTGAAAGGTCAAACGGACTGCAACTTAAGAAAACACCCACCAGCAATAAGAATAACGCTACAAAAGCACACAAAACACAACGGAAATATGAAAAAACTGATTTCCAAAAGCACAAGGGAAGTGTTTCTGGGGAGACAATAACCCGACGGACTATTTGCAGGAACCAAAATATGCCAATAATTTTGCCGATAAACACTTAAAAGAAGTGGAGGATCTATTAGTTTTGTGAGAAAAGAAAAGATGAGAGGTAAGTGTGTTAGCTTAACTATTAGCCTAAAAATCCGTCATCAGTATTTTATGAATCATGAGATTAAAACACACTTACTTAGCATGTTTTGGTTCCTGTAACTGGTCCGTCGGGTTATTGCCTCCCCAGAAACACTTTGTGTGCTTTTGCAGCATTTTTCTTATTTCTTAAGTTGCAGTCCGTTTGGCCTCTCAGGGCCACCGTAAAAGCACTTTGGATTTACCCACTGTCTGTGGTTCAAAATGCTAACATAACAGTATTATTAACACTTAGAACTTCTAATTAACATAACATATCTCATGTTTTTATACCATTAAAAAAAGTTAAACAACACATAACTTCTGTTGCTTATCAGTGGTCAAATCATGAGAGAGTGTGTTATCAGACTCAAACGAGCTTTGTCCCCATCACTCCCTCTCGTCCTGTAGTGCTAAACTAACCAGTTTCTGGTTGTGACTTCATATCATTGACACACCTAATATTGATATTGATCTCCAACTTTTCGTAATACAGTAAAGTGCATTGACAAACATCACCACAGAAATGATTCACCTTGTGATTGTGCCGGTTTTCCAAGAACACGGGAAGTTAAATGCACCGCCTTGCAGGGTTGTGGCTTCTGTGTCCAGGGGTTTCCTTTCTGTGCTGCTAGCATGCTGTGCTAATGAATGAACACAGGTGGCCCTTGCTTGTACGTGGCCTTTCTTGGCAAGAAAGCTTTTATCTGTCCTTGGAACTGCTCCGCACAGTGTTTGGTACAAGGTAACTTAAGTGAATGAATGCTACATTGTGCTTTGGTGCATAAATGACACACGCATGTCCTAGCTTGTGTTGACGTCTGGAGGGCTGAATAATTAAAGATCCAGGGGGCAAGCCAGGTAGATTCAGGCATCTGATATGCATGGCCGAAACCTTTGTGGGAGTGCAACTGAACAATGAAGGACTGTCAATCTGAAGCTGAAAAATATGAATCTGTAATCTCTGGTTGTTGTTACTAAACATGACTTTCCCACAGAGGTGATAACAGGAAAATATTGGGTGAAAATAAGAATTACTGAAGTTTGCCATTCAGTTAGATTTCATGATATCCTACCTGATGACGTGTGTGCATATTAGCAGGTTCAATTGTTACAATGGATTATCTTCCCCAGTGGATTGTATTGCCTAACTTCCTGTGTTATGAAACCGGCCCAGCGAAACTTGTGTTCAGCTAGAGGAAACAATGGCCTCTTAGTGCAGGAATGCTGACCCTCCAGACCAGCTTGGCTGAGGTATTTTAACCATACTCAAGGGAGCGTGGAGGGAGTTAACAGCAGGATCCCACAGTGGATATTAACATTAACAAGGGCCTACGCAGCCCAGGTGTAAACACAATTAGAAAAACAGGTGTGTGCACTCAGATGCACACACTCAGACATGCTCAGACACGCGCATCCTCCTCAGGCTTTCTCCCACTAAGCTCTCCCATTTCTTCCAGCTGTTACTTGTCTCTAGTCGAGCTCGCACACGAACTCCGGACGATGTTGAGATAATCTGGTCCGGACGTTGTCGGAAGTTCACTCTTGGTAAATACTGTTTAGTTTAGGTCAGGGTGAGTCAGGCATCTTGCAAACTTTGCATTTGGGAGCTTGCAACCCAAAGCACTTTTATCACCCAATGTCAGAAATTTGCACCGTCGTTGAGAGAGGCTCAGACCTGTGGAGAAAATATCTTTTGTCAACTCACTACAGTGTGTGAAGCACTCATGCGCTCCTTCTCAATCCACACTGACACTTTGTCATGAAACTGACAAGTGTAAGCACGTAATGATCTGTATATCAGATGATGCTCCGTCCCCTGAGTCACTGCAATAAGCCCCAAACTCTCAAACACTTAATGTTATGGCTGTCAGGCTTTGCATTCATGGCATAATTAGGTAACAATAATGATGGAAGAGCGACGTATTTAAGTTTAAAGACCAGGTCATTGATTTCAGATGCAAAAATACTGAGGCTAAAGCTGCGTGTCCCAGATTAGCATCCATACTGCACCGGCATATGATGTACAGCCCAACTGTCTAACGGTGTAACTGTGATAAGGAAACGCCTCTTATTTCAGTCTAGCACGAGTTACTCTGATTTAACAGTTTCCATCCTGTATTTAATTAAATCACAGCTCTGGAGGAGCATCCCGCTGTCCTTCCTAACCTTTTGTCAAAGTGGCATCACCCCTGCCCCTCATAATTCAAACAGGAAACGATGCAAGACACCCACAGCATCTTCCCGTCAGCACCAAGAACATTGTGATGGATGGATAAGATGCAGGGCCCCTGAATTTTAGCCAGGAAGACTGCAGCGAGCCAACTGTCCTCAGCTGTCTGGCAAACAAATGGCTTTGCTGGTCTCAGCGGTCAAGGTCATGTCGGGGTGGGAAGTAAAGTTGGAGATGTGTGATGGTTAAATGAAAAGCTAGACTCAGGGAGAGGTCTGCATCGGTAACATAAAACTCTTTAGCAAGCTTTCTTATTCAGGTGATCAACTATGCATTTATGTCACCCCTCTTGATTTTGACATTTAAGGTTACCAGACACAAAGCTTATAGAGATGTCAAAAAAGATGCACTATTGAGGGCATGAATATGGAAACTGAAAGGATAGATCAAGAAGCGCCAGGGGGAGGACTGGAAAAGGTTAGAGGAACATTACAAGGATACTGAGTTGGAGGAGAGAAGAGGAGCAGGAATATCAAAGGACGGGGAAGACGAGGGGAATGCTGATTGTGGCTTTGTGTGTGCGAGCGTGCACCTGAGTGCGTCACACACACACACACACACACACACACACACACACACAAAGATAATACAAAGGCAGACAACACAGCACAATGTCCGGGCATTCATAGACACACACCCACAGCTCAACGGGTTATTTATAGCCGAGTGCTCCCAGGCATCACGTGTGTTCATGCACCGCGCCACGCACAGAGGGAACACTAGTGCGCGACACGAGAAATGTCACAAGAAACAGTGGTGTTTGCCGTGTCCCTGCCTGCAGAGCGAAGCTGGGCTGGTAACTGCCCCCCAGGAACCAGTGGTCTTTGGCTGCTAATGAGGACAAATTTTAGGCATGTTGCCCCTATGTAGTGAACCTCAATGAAGGCAAAACGGGATACTTCCGCACACGAGCAATGGCGTGAGAGTGATGAGGAAAAGTGCCTTGTATGGTGAGGGAGACACAGCCAAAGACTTTAATAAACCCCCTTGGATGGAAATACCAACGGGCAAAACCTGGGTAGTAACAAAGATGCTGGTAGTTGTGCGTCTAGTGACACAGATGCAAGAAGAGAAAATTGGTGTAAAATTGCTTCACAGGCAGTGTTTTCTCTGTTTATGTGCACAAAACTGGGCTAATCTCTATCAAATGTTGGTGATGGTACTTACGAGTACCTCAGGAGTTTGAGTATTTGAGTAAAAAGTGGCCGTTTTTATGTTAAAATATCTCTCATAGAGGCAAATACATTGATTTTTGTCAACATTGTCAGAATGAATATTAAAGTCAAATTAGTGCCAAAGTGAACAAACTGACAGGATTCCCTGTGTGTTTGCACTCTGTCTTGGATTATTAACTTTGATTTATTAGCATGCAGTGAAGCCACTCTTTGGGTAATTTTAGGTAAAACTCACATTGAAGTCTTATTTTTCTTTTCTTTTTTTCCTTTGGTGTTTGTTTTGTGACCGTTTGTGCCCAGCAGTGTAACCCAGGTGACCTTCGTGCCCTGAGGAAGGGAATGACTCTGTACCACTCAGAGTCCCAGCTGTCCTCACTGCCCCAGCGCCAGGAAGCCATGCACATGGTCAGTAATGAGAAGACTGACACACACGCACACATACGCAAACACACAAATTTTGAGAAGGCTAACCACCTATACTAAGATTCACACTGACACGCTTAGATGAATACCCGCTCACACTAACCGCTAAGACAATAGTCACAGCAATCAGTCAGCGCTATGACACTGCTTATACAGATGTGGTTACATAAAGAGACAGGGCTTAATTGCACACACACATGAACATGCTTAATTGTAGGGAGCGCTATGCCAGTGCCTCCACGGCAAAATCAAGTCAAGTCAGCTCTAATTCACTTTACTTCTCACACTCCAATTAAACCTGCACAGGCAACCTCGCTCTCGCTTACACGTGACAGGAAGAAGAAAAAAGAGAGAGGGAGAAGAAAAGGAATGAAAGGAAATGGGGCATAAGGGGGATGATCCAGACAGAGTCTTAGACAGAAGAGAAACTAAGGCAGAGACCAGGATAGAAATTTAGCATAGTCAGCACTCTTCCTCATATCCTGTCCCTGCTTTTTCTTCCTCCCTGGAGCTTGTTTGAACCAAATTCCACTATGAAAATAATAATCCTCTCCACTCCACCTCCACCCTTAACCCTGCCAATGTCTTCAGGAGGAGAGGATTGGCAATTAAGGAAGGTCAGAGTCGGGCTGTGCCGCTCCTCAGAAGACTAAATCTTCCTTGTGTTAAAAAATATATATATATTTTTTGTTTTAATCACAGGGTCATTTTGCAGCACAGAGGTAAATTGTGAATTGTAGGTTCCCCATATTTACAGTGTAGTTTTATATGAAATAAGGTCAAACTTTTGATGTGCTATGAATAAGACATTTAACAGGCATGTGTTGTGAAAAAATATGCTGGATATAAAAATGTTGGATATATTTGATTAAATCATCATGTAACTATATTTTTGCTTTAGCATCATGAATTTGGTATTAAAATAGATTTTTATGTATTGTTAAATTAGAATTATTAGCAGCAGCGCTTTTTATTCATTGTTTCATTTATTCATCATTTCATTGTGTATTTAGTGGTGCGTCTTAAAAATTCAGTCCACACCAATTTTGGTGACTGTTAAATTATGTATGGGTGACGTACGCCGAACAAACGCAAGCGATGAAGATAACATTGAGATGATTAAATGTACATAATATATCAGAAAAGAACATATTTATGTTACATCCATAAGAATTGGGATGTAATATAAATCGAAAAAATGTATAGATATTAATAAGTATGTGTGACAATATTTCAAAGTTCTTTCTTAACTGTCGTTCTGTTAAGGAGGAGATAGTTTATGTATGTACACATCCTATGATCGTTATAGTAACATTTTCCTGAAAACTAGCTGCTACGCTTTGCTAATGTTTAGATTTAGATTATTATTTTATGCTTTATATTTATATTTAAATATTTCTAAGATTATATATGTTGCTCATTAGATTGAACGACTTAACTCTAAATTTCGAGTTACTTTTCTCAAAATTTCGAGTTAATAACTCTAAATTTCGAGTTAGCTCTGCCAATCAGTGATCTACGTGGAATTCGCACTCAAAACCAGATCGTAACAAATTGGTGCTTTTGAGAGTACGTTTGGTGATAGTAACGCCATGTGATTCAGCTATTAACACAAAGATTTCATCATTTGTGAAGCCACGCTGAAAATTATCAGTAATTTGTGCATTCATGACTGGCTGTAATACTAGTAGTTTAGCTGTAGCATTTGTAGCTGAGGGCTTCAGCTTCCGGTTAACAAGGAAATGACATAATTCACGTAGATTACTGATTGGCAGCGCTAACTCGAAGTTTCGAGTTACTTTTCTCAAAATATTGAGTTATTAACTCGAAATTTCGAGTTAAGTCGTTCAATCTAAAGAGCAACATATATAATCTTAGAAATATTTAAATATAAATATAAAGCATAAAATAATAATCAAAATCTAAACATTAGCAAAGCGTAGCAGCTAGTATATGCTTATATAAATATAAAAAGCTGTGAAACTCTTCAGAGAGAGAGAAGAGAGGAAGTAAAGAGAGTGGCAAGCTAATAGCTGCTAGTTGTCAGTTAGCCTAGCTTAGCCTAGCTTAGCTTAGCTTAGCTTAGCTTAGTGATAAAGCGGTGAGAAATGGCTCGTCTGGAGCTATTTGACAGTAAAATAATCCACCACCATGACTGTAATATGTTCTTGTGGGTTTATAAATTGTACAATAAAGGCAGATTTTTAAAATTTATTTATTTTAGCTTTTTCTGCTAATGGCCTTGTTTGTGACAAGCCCACAGAACAGCACTAACGTTTGCCCAGTTCATGTTGAGGAGCAGGGAAAGAAGGCATAAAATCGAAGATGAGATGTGGGACTTCAGCATGACTTCAGTGAAGTGGACTCTTAGTTGTGTGTGTCCCTCCCAATCGATCAGCTCATCCTCTATATTCACTTCTTTGTCTTACTCAAAGTTTCAGGTCAGTGAGCGTACATGAGATTGTCAAATAAAAGACGCTCAACAGTCTGTGCTCATTTTCGTATGTTTAAACTTCAAACCATTGCTCCTGACAGTGTTTGTGCCCCTGCCCGCCTCCTGCTGCAATGACCCAAATCAGCCCTGTTAATGCAGGAGATGCTTACAGTTACGAGCAGTAAACACTGCCCCGAGCTATCTGTGTCCAAATCCTTTTCTTGACTGCACTGCTCTTGGCAAATGCTTGCAGTGAATGTTTACATATTTCAAATATTAGAATATCACAAAAGGCTTAACGATGAATTATACATTCATACTTTCAGTCAGACCAAAGTCCACCTCACTGTATGGAAGCTGTTACCTTTTGTTGGTATAAAGACACAGTCTTAACTCACTGGAAAATCGAAGCGCTTGTAAAGTATGGATGGGTCTTTGTGATGCACACACAGATAATTGGATATCATAAATGGCATAAATTTTAAAAACAACTCCATTTGTCTTTTGTATTATGTGTTTTTACACACAAAGTTTTGCAAGCGTGATTTTTAGGTCAAACATGAGCGAGCAGCTGTTGCAACGAGCGAACTCAACTGTGTCTGTGGAATACTGAACAAAATGTTTCCCTCGGATGTCTGGATGAATTTGCTGTGTTGTTTAGCTGCTCTTTGATCAGACAGTTGCAGATTTAAAGAGAAACCTTGGAATCCACACAGGCAAAAACAAAACGGTGGGTAAATTTAATATACTAAATATGTGCAAAAAAGGGGGCTTGGACTGGCATCTGCACTGGATTACATCAAGTATCAAACCAGTCCAAGCTTTTCTGGTACTGTATGTAATTAAGTGGATGTCATAAATGGTTGTTTTGATGTAGTTACTAAACTAAGATACTGCGTCAGTTCAAGTGCTGGCAAAATGTGCAAATGTACACTCACATTCACTATTTTTCTCATGTCAGAGCTTGTAAATATAATGCTCAACCTGTCTGAGGATAACATCAAATTATGCTTAAAAACATGGAAACGTGCCGTTAAGCTCTTTTGCCACTTTGACCTTTTCTTGTCCAATGGTTGAAAGAATACTTTTCTTATTGGTTTGTATGGCCAAAAGCCTCTAGACGTAAATCAGTGCTTTGTGCGGTTTATGTGATGTGAATAAACTGCTGGGCAGTTTCCACAAATCCGTCCTCTTGGGTGCAGTGGGATTATTATTTTATCTCCGTGCTATCAGGTTACGTGGGATCATTCTGGCACCCAAATGGGGCCAGCGGGCATGGAGGGAGCTGACAGGCGCATCACTAGCGAGCAGAGAATTTAACCCAGGCTAACAGAGCCAGGGATCTGTGTCTAATGCAAGACCCCGATGCCAGGTTACGGTGAATGGGACCCATTGTGTATCCCAGTGATCTCTGTGTCCCTCAGACAGAGACCCACTGTCTGGAACTACCCGGGAGGGGGGTGGTGATGAGTCAAGCAAAGTCCCCCTCAGTCTCTTTCCTGGCTGGCTGCTCCCATCACACCAGGTTAAATCACTCTGTGCAGGTAGCAGACCAGAGGAGGGAGTGGAATACAAAAGAAACGGGGAAGAAAAACACCAGTGGAGGATTGGTGATTTGAGCTGGTATGAAGGGGGTGACATTTTCAGTGTGACAGTACAGGAATACTCTCTTTTTAAATCCGAACAGGTGCCCCCTGATGGGACGAGTGGGGCCTCTTTTTTGGTATCTTGACTCAAATGAAGAGCTCTTTGCAGATGTCCTGGCTGGTGCAGGTTTACACCTGCCTCTTAACCTCTGTCACAGTTCTCCCGCTCCCTAACATCTTCATCATTGTTATGTTATTGTTTCTTTCTCTCACTCTCTGTTTTTCTCTCCCCTTAGGGGACTGGACGCCTACCAACTAGCGAGTCCTCTCCAGCTACAGGCTATTTGTCCTGCGTCCAAAAGCCTGAGGCTGTGGTCCATGCCATGAAGGTAATATTAGTCAGGGAAATCAATCACAGGGTGTAATTGTTGGTAAACAGTGTTACAGCTTTTGTATCATTGATGCAGCTGTGATGCTATCATAGTGCTGTTCCTGGAGAATTTGCAGGATGATGCCTGAAGGCTATTATGGTATAACTGCGACCAGCGTGACAGTTCAAATGTGCAAAAAACACATTTGTTGCTAATGTAATGTTACTTTCTTTTAAATGGTTAAAAGGGGGTAGCATTATATTAGCAGATAAAGTAGTACCAGACCATGCCTAGAAGTACTTAACCATGTTCAAGTGGGTCAGGCTGGTAGCGCTATGGAAAAAAACAAGAACACATTGGCAGTTAGGCTGGAAGATAACAGCGTTGCCTAGTGTAGTTCTGTAAATACAGAAGGAAAATAAGACATGTCCAACCCTGTGTCTGCCATCAGGTGCTGGAGGTCCACGAGAACTTGGATAAGCAGGTTCCTGAGGACTATGAGGATGATCTCAGCGAGAAAGAGAAGGCCATTGTGCGAGAGATGTGCAATGTAAGTGCACCTCCTGCTCCCACAGATGTACTCGCATCCCGGTCTTTATTCTAATTGTCTGTGTGTTGTCATGATTATTGGAGAGCCTGAAAGTGGGGGGCTAGGTGGGTGTCTGAGCTCTCACACAGGTCTGTTGCCATCACTGCAGAACCACTTAGCTAATCACACCACAGGTTTGTCACTGATGTAGTGCCAATAATATAAAATGCACTATATGCAGACCATTAGTGTAACAATGGAAAAATGAGGAATTTGATAGTTGTAAATTCAGTCAGTCTGTTCATTAGCTTTTTAAATTCATTCTACTGGATTCAAATCAGGTCAGTTTTGAGCCTTTTTGGCTAATGAGGAACTCGTTTGGGCTCATTTGGTTTGGAATGACACAGCAGCTCTCCCTCTTTCTTTCTTTCTATCCATCCCTCTGTCTCTCTTTTTGTGCCCCCCTTTTCCACTCCAAAGCTGAAAGCCCAAAGTATAGAGGCTCATAGTTGAGCTGTCAGAGCAATTAAACTGGTGCGGCAGGAAAAAGAGCACCACCCCCTCCTCCCTCCCAATAGCACTCCTCCACCTCACCCTTCTATTCTTCCACCTCTCATTTTCCCCTCATCTTTCTCTGTCTGTGCTGAAAAGGCCTTTCCCAGGATAAAAAGGTCTGCTGATTAGAGCGAGTACGCGAGTGGGGTTATCTGGGCCCTGCAGAGGTATGTGACAGGCCAGGAATGGGGAAGCACTACAATAGTACCTCTGTAACATCACCGGGGTCCCGCGGGGGCCCCTCTCACTCTCATAGAGAGATTTCAGCACCGGAGAGACGACACGGACTGAGATAGAGTCCCGTTCTTGTCTTTATGCTTTGATAGAATTGGAAAATGGGTGCAGTGCTTCATTGAAATGTTCAAACATATACAGTGTATAAGATAACAGTTGGGATAAGAGCTTAAAAGTCAATATTCGATGTGTCCACCTTTATTCCTTAATAACTCTCTTAAGCAGCATTTCTTAAAGTGGTGTTTGGGAATAGTTCTCCAGGCTTCCTGAAGGCCATTCATGGCTGCTTTTTGATCCCACGCTGTTTCAGTAATGTTGAGGAGGAAGGCCTGTCCATGACTGATACGGCTCCATTGTGTGCTTTTTTCCATCCGTGTACGCTTTTACTGCACTGGGAGTGTGTTTGGGATCGTTGTCATGCTGAAAAATGAAGCTGTTGCCAGTCAGACATTTTCCAGATGGTGCTACACGGTGGGTTAAAACCTCACTGTGCTTTTCTCCCTTTAAAATTCCATAAATCTCCAACACCACTGGCTGAAACGCTGCCCAAAACCATGACAGGGCCTCCACCGTGTTGTACACATGGCTGTTGTCCCTCTCTCCTGACCTCGGCCATACATACTGATGATGGTGTGAACCCAAACGTTCAAATTTTGGTTCATCACATCGATCAGACCTGTTGCAACTGATTTTTCACACCCTGCCTTTCTTAAGAATGGGCCACCCCTTCTACTGAAGCCATTTCTGATCAGGTTTCAGTGAACAGTAGACGTATCAACTGAAGAATGAGTCCAAAGAAACACTTTGAAAGACCTTCAGAAAGGCTAGAGGACTGTTGCTCAAGACCACTTAAAAAAATTATGAGAAAATCTGGCTCCTTGAAAGCAAAATATAAAGAAGCTCGAGACTTCTGCACTGCACTGAAGCTCTACTGTAGTGTGAGTGTGTGTAGTCCTCCCAGCTCAAAGCCAAACTGTGGGCATTTGAAGTTTTCCCTCTTGAAGAAGAAAGTCTTTTCTTTCCACCCTCTGTGTCTGCCCGTCTTTCTCTCGCTGTTCCTCTTCCTCGCTCAGCTCCTCTTCTCTCCTCTTCTGTTCGCAGGTGGTGTGGAGAAAACTGGGTGATGCAGCAGGATCAAAGCTGTCCGTCAGACAGCACCTCTCTGGTAACCAGTTCAAAGGCCCGCTGTAGCATATCAGCCCTAGAGAGAGACGGAGAGATATCTGGATCCACACTCACCTGAACGCCACCTTCCCACCTGCACCTACACGGACCCGTCACGCCACCGTGCTCCCTCCTGCCGACAGCACCCGCCATTCCTCCGGCGAACGCTCTCTTTTTAGACTGGCTACAGAATGGACCTGTTAGTCTCGTTGTTCACGTGAACAACGTTGCCTGTATACGTTTTTGGATCTCTGCGCTGACATGTTGACAGCTGGCAGCTAGTGTCACCAACCCGCCACTTTTCTGCATCGGTTTGGAGGCTTTCTCTTTTCTCTCTGTAAACAAACACCCGCTTTCGCTCCTTTAGAGCTTAGCTGAGCTGTAATAAGCTAGGGATGAGACGTGGTTTCGAGCACAGGTGACGGGGGTGGGGGGTGGGGGCAGAAGTTGGCAACAGTGAGGCGATTAATACTAGTTTCTATAGAGAGAGACACCCCCATCCCCTCCCGAGCTCCTGTCACATGTATGACCCCGCCTCCCCACTTCCTCCAGCGGTCAATGAGTATAACTAGCATTAGCATTCTATAATGTTAGCCAAGTGAAACCCA